TCTGTCTGTCTGTCTGTCTGTCTGTCTGTCTGTCTGTCTGTCTCTGTCTCTCTCAATGTATTTGGGAAGGAAAAGTAATCTATGAAATCAACCCTAATGGCAGCCCTATGGCCATCTACGTGGGCTTTCTTTGCGGCCCCCCCCACCACAGTAAAGTTACCAAAGATAGCTGCATGATGGGCATGAAGAAAGTTCTCCACCTTCTGAGGGATGTTCCCAGATAAAGAATCTGATCTTTATTCTGAACTTACCACAGTAGAACTGGGTCCTTACAGAGTTGGTGGTAAAGCATAGGGCACAGCTGTGCTGGTATAGATAAGTGCCACCCCTTAGCTGCAGGACAGGAGATGAGCCATCAAACTGCTCTTTCATGCTATGGAGAATATTTCAGGATCCATTTTTTCTTCTATGAACATTTCTCATTCCTTACCTGTCCTTTCACCAGTGTCTCCTGAGGCCTTTACTTTGTTGGCATTCCCGTCATATCTCAAGATTTTCAAGAATATGACAGATCATTGCTATCTTTGTTCTTGTCTTTTCCGCTGGCATGAAAAAGGAAAGGAAATGCCTGGTTCCTATAATCTCTGTGTGAGAAATATCCATGGCAATCTATCTTATGAAAGGCACCTTGATTTTCTCCTTATGTCTGGATGACTCTAGATCTCTAGGGAACATGAGACCTCTTACACATGCATAATTGCCAACACTTGATATTTGCAAAGCTTTTGGGTCTCACTGTATAAGAAGAGTACTTTTTCCTTTAGTTCAAATAATAAATCCCTGTTCCAGGGACTTGTTTTGATATAATAAATCCCTGTAAAACTTAGTGACTTAATAAAGCCCTACACATATGTTTTGCATATAAATCTCTAACTTGGGTGGGGCTCAGTAGGTACAGTTCATCATCATTTAGTTAGAGTGAGACCTCAGCTGCCACAATACACGGCATTTCCACTGGATCTGTCTTGCCTGATGACCTCAGGTTCTTACGTGGCATTTCCGGATTCCAATAGTGAGTATTCCAAGAGATCCAGTGAGAAGGTGCAAGTGTTTTTTAAAACTTGCCTCTGATGTGATGTCTATAATTTTTGCTATCTTCCACTAGCCACATAATTCAATCCAGGAGGGGAATCCACAGAGGCAAAGATGCCAAGAGTGGGCATCGCTGGGGACCACCTAGGAGGCTGAATATCGTTTCTCCTTCTATTCAACTTGAAAAGGAAAACTGACTTTTAAAAATGTGAATCAGACACTACTTGCCAAAAATTTTGATCGCCACAAAGAAGAGATTGGAACACATGTTCTCTCTGCTCCTTCTAGCTGCTATGTTGTCTTTATTAAATGGCAAATTGAATTAGAGGAAAAGAATGTTGGTATTCAGCATACAGTTTTACAGAGAGGCAGTCATGTTGTCTACCTGGGATACCAGAGAATCCATCTTGACTCTACATCTGGTTTCTCATGTTGTACTAGACAGGGAGGAAATTCTGGATGCTGGCATTGAAATTATAGTAAGGCTTCCGAACTACTGTGAAACCAGTAGCTTCCCATCTTAGCTCCTAACTTCATGCTGAGCAGTAACAAAAGAAATTAATGAAGACTAATGAAGCTTTGGCTTGGGAAATAGTGTTTACATACACAGGGTGCATCCATTGAAGTTTTTCAAAAACCAATTGTTCTAATGATTTTATTGCTTTGTAACAAAATAAACTGACATTATTTCAAGGGCACTGAGAATTAGAGTTTAAATATAGTCATGACTACTAGGATGCAAGTTTGAATGCAAGAAGGAGGCTGGAGGAGGAAGGCATCACAGTATATTGTATTCTTGTAAACATTAGTACAAGTACAGAGTAACAGAGATTCCTCTAGATAATGCTAACAGATCCCATGTTTCCTGCTTTTAGAAGGGTGAAACATTAAGGATTCTTTTCCATCTTCCATGTGCTAGAGTATAATATACTGCCCTAAAAAAGAATGGATTCCAATTTGGCTACCGTTCTAAAATGCTGTTGTTGGCTGCCCTCCATGTTTCTGGTTCCCTACAACACAGACTAAGCCTCCGAAACACAGTCTTGTAGGATGGGATGAGGGAGAATGCTGCTCCCAATAGAGAAGAAATAAAATGAAGACAGAGACTTTGACATACTCTCTTTACCAGATCCATTTCCTTCAGGAGAAGTTTTCACATCAACAGATAAGGGCCCTTTGCCCCTGCTTACCCCATTTGCCCTCCCTGCTTATATTTGTGCCTAGATCCTTCTTTGTTACCTCTATTGTTAACTGAAGAGGCAAAGATTTCTATTTTCAGTTTTTGGGCAGGTCAGACCTTGGCAGCTGATGTCCAGACAACTAAGCCCTCGCATTTAACACATAAAGGGAAACAAAGAACCATCAGCAGAGCACAAAGTGAGCAGGGCCTGGAGGTGAGCCCTGGACTGATGAGCTAGGAAGGAGGTCATTTTGATTCTCTGCAGAGAATGCTTGAATTCTGAAGTGTGATATCGTTTGACTGGGGACAGATGTCTGGAACCAGAATAGCTCTTCATTAGGCAGCTCTGAACCCAGCACTGGGACCACAGGAGACACTGGAGCATGCTCCAGTGCTCTAGCTCTAACGGCTCACAGACAGGGACAGAGTCTCAGCCTAGAGGCAGCCATGGCTGACAGCTCTGCTGCTGCCACCAGACTTGCCCCAGCTCTGGCAGCTGACCCTCAGCCTGTTCCCCTCTCGGGCAGCCTGAATGTGCCGTGCGACGGGTCCTCTGGTTGTGCCTGCTACTCCACAGTTGAGTCCACCTCTCTGTCTCCTGGGGTCCTGCTCAGTATGGCAGCTTGTCTGGGGGCACACAGTGAGATGAGCAGACGGCATCACAGCAGAGCTTGCCTACTGCGCAAGGAGGTGAGACCTACAGTCAGACATTTTCCAGGACATCAAAGGGGACAAGGCCTCTTTTCTTCCCGCTGAGGACTCGGATAAAACCATGGTGTTCTTCTTCAGAAGTCACACAGATCTGAAGGTCAAGGAAGAAAAAGCACAAGGTTTTAGTGTCAACAGGAAAGCTAGAACCTGCAGCTTAAATGACTGATCATTGAGGTCACAGGAGCACAAAACTGGAAGGAGAGAGACGTCAGGCTGGGTAGTTGTGGCTCTGTGAAAGCACATTTGGATTAAAAAATTAGGGGGAATCTAATTTGGCGATTAACCCAAGGCATTGAATGTTTTCTGGGCTCCATCTTTTAAAAAAGAGATTAATAAAATAAGATCTAATATTGTTGCTCTGCTGAAGAGCCACTGTAAAGCTAGAATAAGAGCCTGACATACAGCAGAAAAGTTGTTAACACATTATTTTAGAGAACTAAAATAATAGCTCTCACTTAGAAGGCTGCTATCACCAGCGTAGAATTTTTTTATGTGCTCTATATAATATCATATGTCAAAAGGAACTCCTCCTAGCCCCAAGCATACAGATGTTACCATCTTCTCTTTGGATAGTCCTGCTACTCACCACTTACATGCCAATTAAGTATGTATAAATGAGAAGCTTTTGTGGAAAAAAAATGTTAGTGTGCTGTGAGTTTCTTATACTTGACCCGCTTCCGCAGGTGGGTTGTGTCTTAGTTTGGGATTCCTAGAGGCAGCCTGTAAATGACTTACTGAGAGAATCCTTGAGATAGGAGCAGGATGGGGCCAAGCAAGGGGCCTAGCAAGGATGGGCACTAGAGACAAGCCCAGCCTGACCACCAAGCAGCTCTGGGCATGGGGTTCACCACAGTGCTTTCTCACTTGAAAGCAAAGGGTGTGGCTTTGCCTTTTTTTGCCTTTTCCTAGACACTGTTTGGTTACTGGCTGACTGGGACAGAAAAGGCATAGACCCTCAGTGGAGGCAGTTCTGGCTCCGTTAAGGAGGCCTCACTGAAGCAAGCAGCTAAGAGTTATTAGCAGATGATAAATACAGCAAGCTTGGAGGTAAGGTGTGCCCTTTTAGTGAAAAACATGTTGGTAGGGCCACCAGACCGCCCGGCATTGGGGATTTTTCTTCCATCTTTAAATCCAGTGATGATGGATTGGGTTCTTCCCATACTATTTTTTCTGGTTTACCCTGTGTTTCATCTCTCCTCTGCCCCTTTCTAATGTATTTATTGCCTAAGCCAGAGGTACTTTCATCCTTGTAAAGGTGGAATGATTAGATTTGTCCTACATACATGTCTAAGATTACCCCATCTCAGCGTTCACAACTGTAATCACATCTGCCAAGTCCCTTCGAATGAAATCTGGATTATTGCTACTAGTACAAATTACCACAGATCTGATAGCTTAAAACACTCAGATTTATTCTCTTATAGGTCTAAAGTCACAAGACCTAAAGCCAAGGCATCAGTGGAGTTGTATGTCTTCTGCAGGCTTTCAAGGAAAATGGATGCTCCCTGTTTTTTCCAGATTCTGGTGTCTACCTACTTTGCTTGATTCATGGCACCCTTCTCCGTCTTCAAGGCCAGCAGCAAAGCATCTTCAAATCTGTCTGACTTTTGCTCCCATTACCTCATCCCCCCCCCCATATTCTGTAAGAATACTTGAGATTAGGATGAACTCACCTATATAATCCAGGATAATCTCTCCATTGCATGATCTTTAATCTAACCATATCTATTGAGTTCCTTTTGCCAGAAAAGATAAAATATTCAATGTTTTAGGGATCAGGACAGCTTTGAGACACTATTACCACTATTACTCTATTTACCACAAGCTGATAGCATTAACCATATTGCAAGAAGTATGCATATATCAGAAAACACAATGTTCTTAGATGTTGTAGGTTGATAGAAGACATGTCCTTGATGTTGTAAGATAAGAATCTCAAGATAGAGAGACGATGTGATAAGACGCAAGCAAACATCCTGAGAGGAGGAGGGCCTGAGAAAGAAGATTACTGAGAGATAAAGAATGCATTAAAATTTATGTTGGAAGCAATGAAAGGCTGAATTGAAACTTCAGAGAACGAAAATGAAATGAGGACTATCTTGAAATATTCTCTTAGCAAGAGGAGAGATAAAGAAGTGGAAAATGTTAAAGTTACTAAAACTATAAGAAAAATATACTAAAATAAAAATGATCCAGCCAAAGAATTGTTAAGGTTTTGGGGAAGAAATAGTAATATCAAAAGATAAGTGGTAAACGAAAAAACACTGGCTGCCCAGGACAGACCAGGTATAAATGTTCTTCGAAGAGAATAGTGTAAGTATTTTTTGATAGTATAAAAAATGGACAAAGTACATGAGGAAGTTATGCCAACACTCGATAGACACATGATAAAACTTCAAACTTGTTATCCAGGAAGTGCAGAAATAACCTAAACTGTTATTCATCCATCAAAATGACAGATATCAAATATACTTTTGTCAAGGTTGTGGTGACCTGAATGGTTTTGCAAATAGCTTATGTGCCTGTAATCGGGCACAATCTTTGTGGAGGCAAAATGGCAGTGTACATGTGTACCTAAAGGATGAGAACATCCTTTTGTATCTGTTTTCTTTTAAGTTCTAAAGTATATCCTGAGAAAATAAATCGGAGTTAGTGAGAAAGATTTAAAGATGGTCACTGACGTTATTGATAGTTAAAAAAAAAAAAAAAGAAGAAGAAAAGAAAAAGAAAACTCTGAATATCCAGCAAGAGGAGTTACTTAAATACATTCTTGTGCCTCTAGACAAAGGGTTGATAAAATACTTCTGTAAGGAACCAAATAGTAAAAATTTGGGAACTTTCAGGCCACAAGGTTTCCATCAGATTTATTCAACTCACATGTTACAGAATATTGTATAGCTAGCTTCTAATAAAACTTTCATTAAAAAAATTGACCAGTGGACCATAGTTTTCTGTCCCTGATCAAATTTGCCCAGTGGACCATAGTTTGCTGCTGTTGACCTGTATGCAGGTAAAAATTGTGTTTTGATGAACATATAAAGATTACCTTTAAAGAGCTGAGAGACTAATATTCTATTTATTAAGGGGCTGGGGAGGTGGCTCAGTGGAATAAGTGCTTCTCTGGCGAGCGCAAGGGCCTGAGTTCAATCCCCAGTTCCACACACACACAGACACACAAAATTATGAATTAAAAGGACAATTCAGTATGAAATATGTCAGTTTATGTCAATAACACCTTGCTGGTTGAATTACAAGTGGTCACTATTTTTTGTATCTTTGTAAACTGTTGTTTTCTAATTTTTTGCATTATAAATCATTTTAGTTCTACTACCTAAAAATCATTTATCTGTTTTTTAAAAGTAGTACAACACAAAAGAACAATTGAAATAGTTTTACAAATATGATTGAACTATGGGTTAATTTAAAGAAATGATTTTGTTTTATTTAAAGTTATTTAATTAGGAAAGTTTTAAGTTTTAAAGAATGAAGAAAAATATGCTGCATCAATGTAAACTCTGTCATGACAAATGGATAACTTAATTCTACTTGGAAACAAGAGCACTATGAAAAAATAATATAATAATTATGAGACACATTAACCCCAGAGGCAGAAATATGATTTAATAACAAAGATACATTATGTTTTTTTCAAAATCTAATTTCTTCTATTTCCCTGCTAATGATCATTCGTCTCTTTTTATTTTTAGCGTTATAAATATCAGAGTGTCTATTTTCTGGTACTTACTTGGTAGTTTTGGGTAAATATAACTGCAGCAGATGAATTCTCCCCTTGGGCTTTACTCTGACGGATGACGGTGCTAAGGGACATGACCTGCGTTTCTAACCTGTGACATCTAGGCCCTGCTGTGGGGCTTCACACTGTGACCCCAGGCAACGCTCACGGTCACAGCTAGAGGGCGATGCTACGCTGACTTTGCAGAGAAGACTGTTGCCATTCAAAGGTGATTTTTGTCAACATCTCTCAGGATAGAGGTCATAGTTGTGTGACATTGGAATCTGTGTTTTTTCTTCTATATTATGTTTCTCCAATAAACAAGCATGTTTTCAAATCTTCCACCTAAAATAATTTAGGACACTAAAGTTAAGAGGCAAATTTTGACATCTGTTGTTTATAGTAACTTTTTAAAATGCAGTTTTTTTTTTTTTTTTTTCAAGTGGCTAATGCATTTTAAAAGCTAGTTGCCACAGTCATGGCAAAGATGGAAAATAGAGAATCTGTCTAATGGTAGAGACCTCAGTGCCTTTTGTTGACCCATAGTTGATCAGAAGTGGCCTCTTTTTAAATACATAAAAATGCTTTTAGTAGTAAAAAAAAATTATCAAACTTAGATGACAGAAATGAAGGTTATTTTCAACCTTTACCTTTATTAGAATACCTGGTAGTTTGTAAAATGAACTGATTCTTGTCTTTAGTAAAGAAGTTCTGACTTAGCAGATCTGAGGTGGGATCTAGGAATATGCATTTTTAAATAAATTATTCTAATCCCCAGGTGAATTTGATTCTAGTGGTTCAAAGATCATAACTTAAGAAATAGCAGCCTATATAAATTGTTGAAGATTGTAACATTTTCCAAAACGTAAGTGCAGAAGACCTGTTTGGTTCCAAGTTCATGTGGATCTGTTCTGTTGTATCTCAACCATGTTTAATAGTGAGGTATTCCTCTCACTATCCTCCACCCTAATACTCAATAGATTGCCAGCTCAACCATCTGAATGTGGTGTGTGGAGAAGGCAGGTATGAGGCCCACTCCCAGAAACATCCTTTTGAGGCATACGCCGAGGAACTGGTAGGAACCACTGAACAGATGTTGCGCTTCTGGAAACTGATCAACTCAAGCAAATTTTAATGTGCCTACTGGTTTCACTGATTTGTATTTTAATAACATAAAAGCAATGCTTCATCTTAAATCAGGAAGCACAAGATTATTCTGAGAAAAAAATCAAATGTGCTAGCAAGATGATTGAATAACATTTGCCAGTAAAGATGAATGTACTTTATGAATTTATTTTAATCAAACGACTTTATATATTTTTGAAACAGAAAAGGACATAGTTGGGTAAACTTGCTGAAGTTTGAAGGGTTGGCATGGAATCAAGCTGGGAAAAGTGCCCACCTGCTTTATGGGGCGTGTCTGGCAGTAGAGATGGGGGTTCAGCCTCAGGATGATTTCACTGCCTTGAGCAGAGAATGACTCAGTAGAGGGCCCTTAGGAAGAAGAATGTGTTTTCAAGGGGTCCTATGGTCCCCAAGCTTTGCCTTTATGACATTTGCCTATGCCAGGAGCCACGCTGTAGAAAGAGCTGTTTAATGTTCACAGGTTTTCCACATTGTTCAGGACTCGGCTCAGTGGAAGGCACTGACTTGGAATTTTCAGACCTGTTTTTATGTTCCACCCTTGTCACTTACCAAGTTCTCGCTCATTCAGCAAAGTACGTGACCTCAATCAATATTTATTCTCCCTCTTACAAAAGAAAAGCAATGAGTAATTAATATGCAAAATTCATTGGCCTGTATGTGACATCAAGGAGAATATGATAGGTACATAAAGTCTGAAAAGATTATGTATTACTTGTATGTATGACATAATTAAATAATGACTCATAAAGATCACAGGTAACAATAGTTATTAAGGCAATGTCTAGAGGAGTATTGATTTGTTCTTTTCTTTTTTTGTGAATCAAGATTTACAGAAACAAGTTCTCTTTTAAGTAGCAGATCCAAGACAGGACATCATAATCCCAAAACAATACCCAGAAGAGATCTGACATACTTTCCTAGGAAGCAGAGAGGTTGGTATACTCTGCCAGGTGTGTGCAGATGGTGGGGCCCTCTAGGTGCATCACGGCTGAGTGGCTGCTCCCTCAGCTGACACTGCTGTTTCTAGGCAGAGGATGCCTCTACTGTGACCTCACTGAAAGGTAGGTAGGAAAGCTGCGTGCTGACTTAGCACCAGCTCCATGGAGAACAAACAACTTTGGGCAAAAAATAATTCCAGCACATCCGTGGCTTTTGATCTCTTTAAAAATAGAGTCTGCAGAAAAAAATATGTACACATACAGGAAAAGAAAAACTTGTATAAATATTTTAATACTAAGTTTATTGAGACATCTTGAGATTAATGCAAGTTACCTTTGGCTTCTACAATTACAAGTGCTAAAAGCAATGGCCATCTGTTGAAAAAGCATACTATTTTTCTTTTCCTGAAGTATGTGTGCATATCTGTATATATTTGGCAAATCTTGTATATTATGTCCAAAGCAGCCAGATAGAAGAGAAGTTGTATAAATTCTTAAAATTCAGTGTGTCCTAAAGTGAGTATACAATATAAGCAATTTTTATAATAGCGATGATTTCCAAGTAAAACTATAAAATTAGGATGAAATCATAGAGCACAGTGACCTAGTTTCTTAGGCTATTAGAGATTTTAATAACAAAAGTTCATTAGCTGGCATACGTCTCTGGGGGAATTTGCACAAGCAGCAGCTACTGTAATTGGATACGAACGGAGGGATACAGTGATACGTGCTTGCTTGTGCACACATCTGAGCATGCCCAGATAAACCAAGCAACACTGTGTACCTGTACATTATTAGATTCAAAAGATAAAATCAAATATTTCTGCTTTTGAACTGTAGTTTTGGTAAATTTATTTTGAGAAAACAATTTAAATAGAAAAAAAAAACACTCTTTTTTTCCTAAATTTGAATTAATTTTCACTACTTTTATGTCATTATTTAACCTCACGTTACTCTCCTTAACCATTTAGAGAATCATCATTTAAGATGGTGATACAGTATTTGAAGATCTCTTTGCTAGGTCTCTCCTCACTTCTAAATCGGGAGGTTTGGTTTGGCCACATGCGCCAGAAGTTTATCATTGTCTAGAAAGCTTCCTCCATTCTTACGCTTCCTGGGAGGTCATCATCAGGCTGTTGTTTCCTATGCAGTTCTGATCCTTTGTTCACCATGGCCACTGGTGTCACAGGATCCCGAGTCTCAGCCCACCTGTGGTGGTGGCAGTTGTAAGAGGGAGGTGAGTAGGCTGTGTAACAAGGAGGCCGTTTAGGTCCTTGGTCACACTGGCACTCTGTCTTTACTGTGGTTCCAATAATAAAGGCAGGGCTTTGGGCTCCCTCTGCATCTGCATCTCTGTGTGTGTGTTCACTTTGGGAGAACCACGACTGAGATCTGGGTTCCAGCATTCTGTCCTCAACATTACCATTTCCCCTCCAAACTGTGTCGGTTCTTGACATTATGCCCAGAAAGAAAGCATTTTTGTTGACTTAATCATTTGCATTGTTGTGTGACTGTTCCTTATTTTTACCATTATGAATGCTATTATGATTACCATCTTTTTGCTGAAAGATTTCTACCCCCTTGTATTAGATTACTTTCCTGGGTACATTACAGTGGAATTACTGCATTCATGAGGTCGAGCAATTTTGTGGCTCTTAGTGTATGGTACCAAGCCATTATTCAAAATGAGTGGACTGATGTATCCTAGCATTTATGAAAAAGCCCAATTGCTTTTACTCTATCCTCCATCTTTGTTAAACTACATATGGAGAATAATACTCCAAATTATTGGTTTCTTATTTTAAATAACTCTTATTTACTTCAATACAACAGGAGTGGGAATAAATCTTTTTTAAAAAGCTATTCCTGACATTATAATTTTAAAAATTTTTCTGAATAACTATAAAGGAAAATTAAATCATTATTTTTCCAGTGTTATTTATTAGTCATTTGAAACCACAGTGGGATACAAAATAGTTGGCTAGGTTGGTTAAAACAGTTTTTAAAACTATAAGTCAGTTATATTCATACGGTAATGACTGATTTTTGTGTGTATGACTTAGAAACTGCTTTTGAAGGCACTTTTAAAATACGATATTCCAGAAGTGTTTGAGCAACTCTATTGAACAGAGTTGTATTATAATTCTTTTTTTGTATTATAATTCATAATACTTTTTTGGTACTTTTTCATAAGGTAAGCCTCATCACTTTTGATTAGAGGTATTCATTGCTTTGGAAAATATTAGAATTATTATACCAAGAATTCAGAATGAGAGGCAAGCTTTTGGGTCCCAAAATTAGAAATTGAAACCCAGGGTGACTTTATGCGGAGAGAAAAGAAGTTCTAATTTGTAATTGCACAAATCCTCTTCTGATATCTCCAGAGCAAATTTGGAGTTCTCATCAGATTATTTTGCCCTGTAGTGAGAGTACAGAATTGTGACATGAGAGCAGTTGCAGAGAACAAGGGATGGAAAGAAGCCCCCTGGTGGAAGAAGACAACGAGAAGAAAAATTAGACAAAAATTTAAATTATGATCATTCTGTTTCTTTGTGTCTATCAACAATGCTTGGAATAGACAGGGACAAAGAAGTTTGAAGACAAATGGATGCATAGGTTTCAGGAGAAGTAATATCATAAAGGATTCCAAATCCAATGACACTGGAGCAAGATGGCACCAGACACTTCCAGATTAGATGCAGGAAAAGGTCTAACACAGGCGCCTGAGGCAGTCCTTGCTCAGCTAGAGTCAGTGTGTCAAGCCATGGTGTGACGTAAGGACCTTCAGTGAACAGGTAGAGGTTTAGAATCTAGACAGAGAAACCCAAAAAGGATCCCTGTAATTGGAGGAAAATATAATGAGCCCTGAACACAACAGCAAGTAACACCAATATATTCCTAAGAGACAATGGCAGCACATCGATGAACGCAAGTGCAGAGTCCAAGCTAGCTGCTCATATCAGCGATGAGTGATCTTCTGAGAAAAGCACAGGGACTAGATACTCGCCCTCTCAACATGAAATAGTGCACACTTCATCGTGTGAATGGACATCATAAAGTTGGATTTACATGCTCAGATTTCCACTACACTAGTAGGTTTTGTAATAAAAATATCTTTTTCCAACTACACACACTGTAACCTCACTCATCCCAATTTCTGAGCATGTAATGTTGTTTGGTCATACTGGGCATGTTTTTGTGTGCTGTACTCACCTGATTCTCCTTCAGTGTTATCTGCCCCTGCTCCTTACACCCAATGAAGGTTCTAACACATCTAAAAATCTTCTCATTTTGTTCTACTCTCTGAACAAAGTTAGCTGGAAAGAAGCCAATCCTGTCCTGAATTTTTCCCTGTAAGGAAACAGGAGGCATTCATTTGCAACTGTACCACTTATTATAATTACCACAGATTACTAATTGTTTATCTTTACCAAATAATCATTTCTTTTTAAAGAAAGAGAAATACTTACTTTCCACCAGTCTTCGTTGGAATCCTCTAGAAGAGTAATCACATCTCCTGGACTATAATGAGGAATTAACGAATCGAGCCGGTGGGAAGTGAAAAAAAGAAAGAAAAGTATATGACACTTTAGAGGAAAAAGTATTTTTTTATTCTTGTAAGTAATCTTAAAATAAATAGAATTAAAACAAGCATGATCTTATCATTTTTCCCTTGCAAGAAAATAGTGGACACAATTTCTGTGCTGTCTTTAAAAAAAAATCCTTATTTTCTTCGATACACATAAAATCATATTTATATTGCAAAAATCATTCTAAAATTTATAACTTGATAAGTTTCATACTGCAAGTTCCCCTTTGCATCTGCCTCTCCTGCCAGTGTGTGTCCTTCCAGGTTCTCTCCTACATGCTCACATTCATTACATTCACATGTAGACATGTACAAACATTTTTTCGTTAGCACTGACATGTAGAACTTGTCATCACTATAACCATCTGCATCTTTTCATTGCCTTCTTGGAATGTAGCCCACCTTTTCCTTCCTCCACTTTCTCTGTTGGTATGATTGGGAGTTTTATCCTAGGAATTTTATTTTGTGCCTGTGTATTGACATCACTCACCAAGAACTGTTTGGATTTAGCTGAAGATGTGTTTTTTTGGTGGGGCCTTGTAGCTGTGTTTGTTGTTTGTTACTTCTTATTTTATGTTCTGAAATCCAGATGTGTGTGCATGCATGTGTGTGTGCGTGCATACTTGTGTGTGTATGTATATGTGTGTGTGTGCGTGTAAGTGCACACGTTAAGTCTTTGTACCCCTCTCTTATAGAAGCTTTTACAATGTGAAGGCTCTTACTTTTCATAGTGAAAGGTCTCTACTATCCTTTTCCATTTTTCTCATCCATTTCTCTCTTTTGAGAACTTCTAATCAATATACACTGTGTCTTCTGAATGCATCCTACAGCTTTTGTCTTTCTTATGCATTTTCCATCTCTTTTTTTTCTGTATTAAAATTTTCTCAATTTTGTTTTCATAATCATTTATTTTGTGTCTAAACTCATCTCTCCTATGATATAATAGTCTATAATAATCTGTTCTATCATAATTTGAGCTTGTTTTAAAAAAAGTTTAGTAAAGTTTTAAGGAAAAATTTTAATTTTCAAGGTTTTTAAGGATTCTTTATTATTTTCTGAAAGTTTGCTTTCTTTTATTTTCTGAAAAATTTCTGAAAGTTACTTTCTGTCATGGATATAATATTTTTCTGATATTATCATATTAAAAAAAAGTTTCTTTCATTTGTTGAAGTGTTCAGGATTAGTTGTCTGTCCTTTATCTTACTACTTCTCCTTCATTTCAAAGAATTTTCTTGGGCACCTGGCACTTCTTGGTTGTCTCTTTATATTAGTGTCTGAAAGAGAGCAAGGTGGATGTGGCCAGCTGGTTGGGATTCTCTGCTATTACACACATCTGGTGTGTTCTGGCTTTCTCTACCACGTGGAAAAGGCTGCCTACAGGCTAAGCTTAAAGGAGCAGCACATGTCAATCAAAGCATCTACGTTTTTCAAAATTAATTTTATTGAGAAAGACAGCAATAAGACAGTTTCAAAACAGATTAGTAGGACAGTTACAATAATTAATACAGTCCACATTATTGTCTTCATAGTAGTTATTCAGAGTACAAGATGCAGACATATCTTGTCTAAACACTATCAGTGCATATCTTCTCGTTGAACTAAGAGAAAGTAGCTGTATATCTAACCTTACTAATTTGTATATAAAGATATATAATTTTTTCACTAAAAGCATCTACTTTTAGTATACCTGAAAATATAGTAAACAAGTAGTCTGGGCCTCTACTACTCATTATCTTAGTGTAAAACAAGGAGGGCTTCCCGAATCTTCGTGAGATAGGTTAGTTTATTTTCCTTCCAAGAGGAGCCACCTTTTCCCTTTTGTCTGCCCTTTAGCATGTCTGGAGGTCAGAGTTACTGAACACAATTCACTCTTTCTTGTGCATTGGTGCTCACATGACAGCCTTCTTAAGCATGAGTTCCCTTTCTTAGGCAGAGATTATGATTTATTAGACCCAGAGAGGACATGCTGTCACTTTTGTCCTTTTTTACTGGCCAGTGAAAATCATAAGATCAGTTTAAACACCAGGGATACAGGAAGGGTGTCTATCTCTCTGTGAAAGGAACTGTAGTCTCCTAGCAAACTAGGCTCAGTGGTGCAATTGGCCCACTGCGGATCCCACGCCCTTCAGCGAACTTGCTCAGTGCCTCACTGAATGTGCTTCTACTTCTAAAGTTTTTTTTTTTTTTTTTTTTTTTTAATATTTTGAGCATTCTTTGGTATCTGGTCCTCTTCATTGTTCTCATGCTAATTGTATTTCCTTTGGCCTGCCAGGAAATTCCGAAGATTTCTTGTTGTGTTATGGAAATTTTTTTTTTCTAGTACTGCTATGGAAGTAGTCCTTAGAAAAGATATTTTTAGATATTCTTTGGAATTAGGGCAGAAGGAACAGATTTGTGTGCTCATTTTGCTATTCTGATTCAATCTCCTCTGCTATCATTTTTAATTTTCAGTTAATATCTATTTTCATTAGAGATTACCACATAATAAAGCCATACCATGTGAAGCACTAAACACATCTGGCATTTTGATATTTCAACAGTCACAGTTATGTACTGATGCTACAGAAAGCGAGATGGCTGAAAAATCACTCTTTCCCAAGTAAGGGATTTAATTAAGCAGCAAGGATGAAAGTCAATGTAGAATAATCTTCTAAGCTGTAGCAGATTTTATTTAACCCAATAACCTGAGAAGCCATGTGTCAGTAACAAATACAATGACTCTGCCGATGCTTTGGTGGGAATTGTAAGCAGGGCTTAAAGCTGAAGACTGGGGGAGGTTTCATTTTCCTAAAGTTGCAGGAAGATGCTGCCTGAATCAGACCACTATTATTTTTTTCATTTTAATGAGAAAAAAAAGATAAAGTAGCAAGGAAACAGTTTTAAAACAGGTTAATAGGACAGTTACAATAAATAATACATCGCACATTGTTGTCTTTGTAGTAGTTATTCGGAGGTCAAGATGCAGACATGATCTCTTGTCTAAGCAATAATAGTACAAGGCTTTCTTCTCATCGAACTAAGAAAAA